CCCCAAAACCCCAAAACCCCAAAACCCCAAAACCCCAAAACCCCAAAACCCCAAAACCCCTTTTGGAATTTAGGATGTTGAATAGAGGAAGATAGCAGTTTAGTAAAAGTTGATGTTATTAGGCTGTACGTTTTTAGATTCTCTGAATAGGAACTCGGCGAGGAAGTCGACTGGGTCTTCAGGTTGGTTCTTACATACTTCGCAAAGGCCTTCGCTGAGAATACCGACGACGTTATCGACAAGGTATGCTCTGATAGGTTGGGATTTGGAGTCAAGTAAGTCTCTTTCTTGTTCTTTAATATGTTCAAATCTGTTCTTAGTGTAATCTTCCTTCTGCTTTCTCCATTGTCTTTCAATATACTCTTCCCTTTCAGCTGTATCAGCAACTAACTGCTTTCTTTCTTTGTTCTCTTTCTCAAATTGCTCAAGCCTAGTTGACTCTAATTCCTCATCAAAAATCATGTAATTCACTGGCTTTCCTTTTCTTTCAATGAAAATCTTGTAGCTCTCTATTAGCTTCTCCAATTTATCCATTCAGTTAGATTCCATGATTGCGATATTCCATTTTGAGAAGAAATCCAAGAGTGAAGGGTCTCCAATAGGAGAATTGTTAGTATCTCTATACACTTTAGTTCTTCTGATAAGTCCATCATTATCCCAATGGGTGTTGGCAATTTTTTGCTCACTCAAGTTCATGAGTCTGTCTCTGATCGCCTCTTGAGGCCCATCAAGTTGGATTATAGAATCAGGAATGAGGTTCTCATCAGGTTGGTACTTATCAAAGTTCTTTTGGATAAGATTTCCATCATCGTCAAGTGCGTCTTCTTCAATTTCATCATTTTCGTCAGCTTCTTCAACCTCAACATCTCCATCTTCATTTACAGTCTCTTTGAAAACTCTCTTGAGGAAGACATACTGTGCATCAGTGTATGACCTAGGGTATCCATCAAGAATATATCCTCGGTTCCTACAGGCATTCTCAGATAATTTCATCTTGATGAGTGGGTAGAGGAATTTATCAGGAAGTCTGACGAAGATCTCATCTCTGTTAAGAGTCTCGTCTTCCTTCCTATCTTCTCTGGATTCAAATTCTTCGACGATAGCGTCCTTTTTCTCATCTATGAAGCCATTTACAGTTTCAGCAAAGTCTCCCTTGAGTTTGGGGATTAGGTTCAGAGCATCCTGGATTGTGATATGAGGAATGTTGTAGTACTTAGCCAATATCTTAGCACAATGGGTCTTCCCACTAGCTGGAGGTCCAGTAATAAGTATCTTTACTGGCTTCAATTTTCTGTAATCATTAAATTCGTTGTTCAGCATTAACATGTTCCTTAGAATTCCTTTCTTGCAATGCCAAGGGAATTTCAGCTGCTCAGCTAATTCTTCAGGGTTCTCAGCATCTTCAGGTGGCTCATCATCTTTGAGGATATCAGAGGCTCTCATCTTGATATCAAGAGTAAGAAACTCTGCCCATTCGTGTTTCTTTACTTCTTCAAATTGAACGCTGGTAGTTTCTTTAGTTCCCATGCCTTTCGCAATAGAGCTTACTAGCCTTTTCTGAGTTGGGTTTTTAGTTTTATCAAGAGCGAAGATATAATAACTTTCTGGCATGTTGCCAACCACTTTTCTAACTAGCCTAGCAAGGTCTCTAACATGAATTGTTGGAACAAGGTTCTTACCCTCTCCAACATAAGGTAACTTCCTTGGGTCTTGAAGCCATGATTGCTTGAAGTGATCATGGAGAATTCGCTCTCCATCTCCATACAAAATACCTGCGCATAGTACATATACTCTCAGCTTAGGCTGTGCTCTAACAGAAGATAAAGCCAGAGTTTCTAGTGTCTTCAAATATTGAAATCTCCTCGAAGGGACTCTGAGATGGAAATCCTTTTCCTTAAATGTGAGGACAACAGGTTTAGGAGGAGCATTTTCATCAACCTCTTCTTCTTGGTTTTCCTCTCCTTCAGCTTCCTCCTCATTTTCGGATTGTTCTTCCTCTTCTTCTGGAGGTTCTTCGTCTTCTTCTCCTTCAGCTTCCTCGCCATCTTCATAAACTTTCTTAATTTTTGGAGGAGTATTTGCCCATGACATGACACTAGAGACCAAGATCAGTACCTTATCATGCTCAAGTTCATGAGTCTTGAATGTCTTAATGACATGGTCAACTTCTTCGAAGTTGGATGTCATGAGGTCATAGATAACAATATCACTTTCGAGGATATGCTTTCTAAACGACCTGGTCAAGTCATTCTCAATAACCTTTTCCACACCCTGAGGGACTTCATCAGGCTCTGACTTTGTCTGGGTTCCCACGAAAATATGCTTTTCAATAGGATCCTTTATTTGTTCAGAGTTTTCCAATTCCTGGTAGAGAACTCTTCCGAGGTAGGAGTTTATGTTATTTATGAAAAATTTATATCCTGGGACTGGTGGAGCCTCTATTTTCTGCTCTTCACCTTCTCCTTCGCCTAAATCAGATTAGCAATTATTTTGCAAGATTTTGACCTTATGAGAGATTTTATTGGCTTATTTGACCATAGTAAGGTATATTATAGAGATTTGATCTAAAAATTGAAATTACCTTCACTCATGGTGATGTTTTATAAAATTATTTTAAATTCAAATAAAATTATTTAAATTGGGGTTTTGGGGTTTTGGGGTTTTGGGGTTTTGGGG